CCGCTGCGGGGCGGAGGCCCGGCCATGGCTGCACTGTCTTGACAGGGACCCAGCCGGGACCTCAGCTCCGGATCCACCCCCAGTACCCGAGAGTAAAGACGCTGAGCCGTGTCCAGGTAAACCTGCGGCAGCCGTTCCTCCGGGTGCCGCCTCCGGACGGTGTGGCAGGCAGTGATGAGGGCCTCATCCTGGGGCGCGGGGAAGAAACCCCCTACCATGATGGTTGCCTTTCACAGCACCCACACCAAGCCCCCAAGAGCTCAAGGAGTTAGAGCTTCTGACACAGGCCCTGGAGAAGGCTGCGCGGGTGCGCAAAGGCATCCCTAAGGCAGGAGGAAGAGACAGACACCCCAGTGAGAAATCCGGATCCAAGGCTGCTGCCTTAGGCCCGGCCGGCAACCGTGTACCGGTGACAAAACCCACCAAGGGCCTCCGCCAGACCACCACGCAGGCCAAGGAGCCCACTGGGCCCAAGCTTCTGTCGGTGGGCGATAGGAAGTATGCGGGGATAGGACCCCAAGCTACCACATGTGGACCAAGACTCCAAGACCAACCATTGGCTCCATGTGCTGTTCCTGTGGCTACGGAAGCCTTCACCCTGGAGCGGAAGGGGTAGGTTTCCCTGCTGTCTCCATCTCTCTGTGCAGACCTTGGCCAGCATCAGGATCTGGGATCTGGGGTGCCACGAGGGCAGGGCATTGAGCTGGAAATGGGATCCCTGGAGGGTCACGAGGCCAGTGTTCTGTGTCAGGCAGAGGGGAGCAGCTGGCTGGAAGGTGCTAGGTGTGACCTCGTTGGCCAGGTCCTTCTCCCAGCTCCCTTCCTTTCCGTGGGCCCGGGGTGGGGGATGGGGATTGAACACGGGCTTCTCTGACAGGACCCAGCTGCGGCTGCCTGGGGCCTTCAGGAAGGCGGCTGCTCAGAACTCTCGGTAAGGCTGGGTACGGGCAGAGACCATCACCAGCTTGGGGACACAGACGAGGCCTTCCAGCAGGTCCTTGTATTTTCTGGCAAGGAGTGGGGGGAGGTCACTGTCTAATTCAGGGTCTGCCTAGTTAGCAGCAGGCCCTGATGCCTCCAGCTCACGCACTTGTAAGATAAAGTATGAGACCTGAGCGTGATCCTTGGCACCTCCAAACCCTGGTGTGTCTAGAGGTGACAGGAATAGACCAGCTTCACAGAGGTGTTGTAGAGTGCCCTGCTGTCACTGGGCAGAGTCAGGCACCCAGCCTGCCACAGGCCCTAGCCTAGTTGGCTAGAATAACTGTGTCCCTCTCTGTGTTCCCGGGATTCCCTTGTACACACTCCAGCCTGTGGGCCCAGCTCAACTCCACACAGACCGGCGACTCCACGGATGCCACCCGCGCAGCCAAAATCCACTTCCTCCGGAACATGCAGGTGGCCAAGTCCTTGCTGGGCCTGTGGGCATTGGGGGGCTTCCGGCTCTTGGTCTGACAGTCTTACGGAAGGGCTAGGTTGGGGTGGCCACAGCTTCTTCCCAGCCCCTCCTCAGTGGGAGGCTGCAGTCTGGCCATAGAGCGCTTTCTCTGATGTGTGCACAGTCAGGCTCGCTCAGCCCCAGACCCAGTGCTGTGGAGGTGGAGGCCGAGGCCCAGCGCCTGCAGGAGGCCTGCGCAATGCTGAGGCTGCGCATGCAGGAGGAGCTCGCAGTAGGTCAGCGGGGCCAAGTGGGGCTGGAGGAGAGCGGAGGGTGAGGTGGTCAGGGGAGGGGTCGAGGATGACCATTGACCCAGCCTGTTCTCCCTGATCTGCACAGCCCCCGCTGACTGGATGCAGGAGTACCGCTGCCTCCTCACCCTGGAAGGGCTGCAGGCCATGGCCGGGCAGTGTCTCCACAGGCTGAAGGATCTGTGTGCAGGTGAGGTCCGGCCCTCACCCTGCACGGCTCCTCCCGCCACTCCTCCTCCTCCTCCCACTCCTCCCAAGTGCGCTCACCTCACTAAGCAGCATGAAAATCAAAGACTCCAGGGGCTCAGTGGTACAGTGCTTGCCTTGCATGCATGAGGCCCTGGGTTCGATTCCTCAGCACCACTTAAAGCAGAAAAAGCCAGAAGTGGTGCTGTGGCTCAAGTGGTAGAGTGCTAGCCTTGAGCTGAAGAACTGAGGGACAGCGCCCAGGCCCAGAGTTCAGGCCCCATAACTGGCTCCCCCCCCCAAAAAAAAAAAATCAGAGACACTAGGAGATGTGTCATGGACAACAAAGCTTTTTATTACCCTTTAATTGCTTGAAATTTTAAAAGTTTAGGTCAGTCTGTCTCAAGAGAGACACACATAAGCACCTGAAAGACAAAGGGACGTCCCACGAGAGTCAAACTGCCAAACCAAGCCCGCACACCCCCACGCTGCCTACCTGACTGTTCCAACAGCCCAGCCTTTCGCCCCTCAGCAAGGCAGATAGGCCCAGCACTGACCCAGAAAGAAGCTGGGCCTTGGGTGTGGCTGCCTCCCATGACACCATGTCCTCCCGTCCTCACAGCGGCCACGGAGCAGACCCCAGGACCACAGCTGGGGAAGCCTCCACAGACTCCGCCGCCCCGGAGAGGGGAGGCGGACCCTTCCCAGAGCCCTCCGCTCCTTCTCTACACCAGCACCGAGGAGCTGCAGACGCTGGCAGCCCTGAAGCTGCAGGTGGCCATGCTGGAGCAGCAGATCCACCTGGAAAAGGTGCCTTCCCAGAAGGGGGAGCAAGTGTGCATCTGGCCGCTGTGGGGCTCAGCACCGGCCCCTCAGAGCGGGGACTCGGTTGGGGCATGACTATGCTGCTGGTGGTAATGGGAAAGGCGTGCCGGGCGCTGGTGGCTTATGCCTGTCATCCTGGCTATCAGGAGGCTGAGATCTGAGGGTGGCAGTTCAAAGCCAGCAAGGGGAGGAAAGTCCCTGAGACTCCTATCTCCAATGAACCACCAGAAAACCGGAAGTGGTGCTGTGGCTCAGGTGGTTGAGCGCTCAGGGACAGCACCCAAGCCCCTAGTTCAAGCCCCACCGACAAAAAGAAAAAAAAAAAAAAATGAGAAGACATGAACCTTTGGGCCTGTGTGTGAGCCGGGAAGGGCCCCAGGGACTTGAACACATGGGTTATGGGGAACCCTGGAGGGGAGGGCTGGAGCACGGAGGCTGTGGGACCCCCTGTGACCCTGACCCTGCACTGCCTTCCAGGTCCTGATGGCTGAGCTCCTTCCCCTCATAGCCGCCCAGGAGCCCAGGGGGCCCGCCTGGCTGGCCCTGTGCCGGGCCGCGCACAGCCTGCTCTGTGAGGGCGGAGCGCGCTTCCTCACTGTCCTCCGAGACGACCCTGCTGACTGAGCCCTGCGCCAGCTCCAGCCCAGCCAGAAGGCTGGAGCGCACAGGGACTGCGGAGAAAGCACCTGGTTGGTGAATCAGGCGGCATCCTGGGAAGCCTGGGTGGACGGGCACCAGATCTGCGGTTGGGGCCTGGCTTGGCCTCCCGGGGTCCCTGACAAACAGCCCCGAGCCCCACACGCTCAGGGAAGCCTTTCTTGGTTCCTTCTGTTTTCTTTCACTGTACTCTTAAAAAAAGCCACCTGTATGCTATTAAAACTGTTTTAGAAAGTATCTAAGTCACCCTAAGGTAGGACCCGGAATGGATCTTTTTGTAGTTTCTTTTTTTGGTTGGTTGTGGGGCTTGAACTCTGGGCCTGGGGCGCTGTCCCTCAGCTCTTCAGCTCAAGGCGAGCGCTTTACCACTTGAGCCACAGCGCCACTTCCGGTTTTCTAGTGGTTTATGGGAGATAGGTGTCTCACAGCCTTTCCTGCCCGGGCTGGCTTTGAACCTTGATCCTCAGATCTCAGCTTCCTGAGTAGCTAGGATGACAGGCGTGAGCCACCAGCGCCCGGCTCTTTGTGTTTTCTATTCAACAGTGCATCAAGTAAGGGGGTGCACACCCCGGTCATCTCACTACGTGACAGGCGGAGGGGTGAGGCTGACGCTTTAGGCCAGCCCGGGGCAAACCCTTAGTGGGATTTCATTTCAGTAACAAAACAAAACTTGGCTGGACAGAAGGCCCTGGACAGCAAGAGCATCTGTAACCAGGGCATGGTTTGGGTTATAGAGTGTCTGTCTAGCAAATGTGAAGCTCTGAGCTCAAACCCCAGGACTACCTTAAAAAAAAAATACATCGAATGAATTTATCAAACAGGCCTAGTGGTGCACCTCTGTGGTCCCAGCCCCGGAGATCTACCTTAAACAAGCAAAATCTGGGACAGAGCTCAGGAGGTAGAGAACTTGCCTGGCATGTGCAAGGCCCAGGGTTCAGTCTCCAGCAGCACACACACCACACGTCTCAGGATAAGGAAAACAGGCAAAGCCACTCAAGTTGGTGTTTGACCCCGGACACCTGTGGCTTCCCTGCTTGTGGCCAGAGCTCCCCGGCCTTGTCAGAGGGCAAAAGACCAAGTTTCCTCACTGGAGAACTCGCCCTGTCCACAGGCACCCCTGGCTCCATCACTACTCTCCTGGGGCAGATACAGGATTCCCACCCCCATAACTTCTTGCAGAACTTCACCAGGGAGGAAGTCCACACCACGGTCATTTCTCATTCCTGGAAGGAGCGAGGGTCAGCTGTGGCCTCTGGAGCTGGGTTTGCATGGTGACTGCTTTGCGACTTTCAGCCTTGGTTCCCCAGACTTGTCCCCACTGCCATGCTGGGGGAGTGGCTTCTACCCCATGGGGCCTGTACAAATGCTGCAGGCAGCTATGGTGGCGGGGCTGGCTCTGTGCTAGGATACCTCATCTCTTCTTAGTTTTTGTTTTTGACAGTCCTGGGCCTTGAACTCTGGGTCTGGGCACTGTCCCTCAGCTCTTCAGCTCAAGGCTAGCATTCTACCACTTGAGCCATAGCACCACTTCTGGCTTTTGCTGCTTATGTGGTACTGAGGAATCGAACCCAGGGCCTCATGCATGCAAGGCAAGCGCTCTACCACTGAGCCATCCTCCCAGCCCTCATCTCTTGTTTTTGAGATGGTTCTCTGCTGTGTAGCCATGCTGGCCTCAGGCCTTCTGAGTGCTGGGACTACCGTCATGCCCTCCCATGCCCGGCACAGCAAATATTCTTTTGGTGAAACTTTGAAATGGAGTGGCTACTGCATCCCAAGCATCGCTGGGCACTGGTCCCGGTGTAGGCGGCTGCGAGCTTCCCCACTGGGCACTGAGGAGAGCCCTGCATGGAAAACACCTCTGTCCTGTGGCACCCAGGCTGCAGCACAAGCCATGAGTGCCGCTTGTGGAGGGCTGGGGAAGGGGCTGGTGTGGAGGAGACTGGGCTGGGAGGCGTGGACTGGCCCGGGGTGGTCAGGGCCCGGGGTTCTGGCGTGGATGGCCAGCCCTGGCCAGGAGGTGCCCTGGGGAGGCCTGGGACGCGTGTCGG